CACGCGCGCGCCCTAACACTCTTTGAATTTCTTACTGAAAAGATTTTGATTACTAGTAAGTGATTTGTACAAAAACTATGAGTAATTGCAGTAGATCTCTTCAGCATGAAATAGCATGGCAAGTGGATTGCAGTACACTTATTTGTAAAGTATACTGGTCTGCACTTCATTGTACAATCGGGATCTTGTTTCAAGTCAAGAAGCCGTTTTAGCTATGGCTTCTGAGAATTGATATGGACTGTGCTGTCATAATGATACTGTCATACTGGGTGTTCCAAACTAACTCCTCTGAGATTCTCACTGAATGGAACCAGGTTAACCGATTAACATTCCTCCTCCCGCTTCCAACACGCTGATGTAATCAGCAGCTTTTCTGTTTTCTTCTCAACGATAGGAGGTGGAGTTTTAATCTTTTAATCTGATTGTATTCAACAAAAGTCCCTGTGGAGTTTGTTCCAGTGGTTTACAAAAGTTTCAATGTGAATACACCCTAAGCAACATTTTACAAAAATTTTAAAAAGGCTCATGCTTTACTCTGTATGCCTGAAATTAGTTGCAGCCATGTATTTATTTATTTATTTATTTATTTATTTATTTATTTTATATATATATATACATTTTTTTTTGCTCCCTCCCTTAATGAAAAGAACTACATTTCATATTGCATGTAATTTTGTTGTCAATGACAGTAGTTATATTAGTCATTGGAGCAAAACATGTGATTAATGTTGCCGAAAGAACAAAATTAAGACACTGTAGTTTAGACAAAACGAGATGTGCTTGCTCTTTAATGCATTAAGTCTGATAAAATGTTGAGTTTAAATTGAAAAAAAAAAATTTAATCCAGACAATCCAGAAAGATTTGTACTTCACCCATAGTTGCCAGGTATTGGAAACTTTTATTTCATTAATTCCTTTTCTACATACCAATGTAGGCTAGATGTTTCCAAATCGCTCATGCAAAAGGTATGTTTGGATAGAAAAGAGTCAAAGAGGTTTCTTTTCACCTATGGAATCATGGTGATGGGTGGAGGAGAGTCACTGTCAGTACTCTGAAATTTGGGTGATGGAGAGTGTGTAGGTTGTTAAGAAAAGTCACCGTCAGTACCCTGAAACTCGCTCTGGATTTAACCAATGAATGTAACTGTGCTACATTGTATGCGTATGCTACGTTTGTGTATACTGGATATAAATTGTGTTACATGTATGGCTTTATTTTTACTTTTCTTGCCATAGGTCCACAGGTATAGAAGAGCACGTGCTTTTGCAAACCAGGTATAATTTGACATGACATTTTCAAGTACTGTAGCTTTGCTGATACCTTGGCTTAGGTCCTGCTTCACAAAAATTTTATTTTAATTCAAATTGGCTAACCACAGGATCTGCTAAATAACTAATTCAAACAGACAAAAAAAAAAAAAAATTGAGAGAGAAACAGAAAAATGCAGACAAAGGAAATTCAGTGTAATGCAAATAATAACCAAATTTTGAAAAATGTATCTTTCTTGAAGAATGGTATTACTTAATAATGCATAACCTGAATAGGAAATAATTTACAAAGAAAAATCCTGCATGATTTTTTTAAACATTTCCCAATGGTCCTACATAATAAAATGCCATGTTGTTTTGGAATAGATTCACCACTTTTTATTCCCTTTTCAATACAGAGTGTCACCACTTTCTCCACACAAAGTGAAGAACCTCGGTATGGCACCGTCACCACAACAGGGAACGCAGTGGTGCTGATGATAGAAAACCTGGAAAATGGCACCAAATACTTCTTCTGTGTGCGTGGGTTTAACGCAGCTGGGGAGAGCGCCAATTCGGAGGTGGTGAACTGTACAACACTGGAAGAGGAGCAAGAAAAGTTGATTGGTAAGATTTGTTGGAGTTTGTGAATTGCGTGTGTGTGTATATATTTATATATATTTGAGAAATAGAGTAAAAATGAAAGGAAAAAGGAAAGAAAGATGGAAAGAAGGCATGGTATTGCTTACTGTAAAATAAAATAGTTAGAGTCATACATGTAAATAAACATAACTTGCAAATAGAAAATTTAACACCAACAACCAAAACAAATAAAAAAATGCACCGGTTAACATCTTGCTCCACGTATTGTATCATAATATATTCATTTATCTTCATCTTATTTCAGTTCCAGAAATTGTTCCAGACAACTGTCACACATACATGTCCTCCATCCAGATCTACTGCAGCAGCCAGGTCGCCACCCCGAGTCCCACGGTGAATTTTTACCTTCTCCACAGGGAGGCCGAAAGCAACACCCTATGGAGAAGCACTCCGCTCTATGCTTGCCTGGACCACAGGGTGTTTGGGTTAGAGCAGGATAAGCCGTATGAGTTTGTGGTACTGGCGTGTAACTCAAGTGGGGAGGCACAGCTGTCTAATAAAGTGGTGTTAAGAACACAGGGCTCTTCATCATGACTGACTCCTTTCCCTCTGATATCAGGGGGCCTCTGAAATAGTATACAAAATTTAAAGGGATAATAACTCTTCGTATGTGATCTATATTTCACAATAAAAACATTGTGAATAACTCATAGAAATATAATATATTCTGTTTTACAACAAAAACAGCAGTTAAAGCTATTATTCTGATATCTGAGCTTGTCTTCAGACCACATGACCTCCATTGAAGGCTATACTCTGTTATAATCTCTTAAGAGATTTTAACAAAAAACCAAACTTTTTAGAAAAAAATCAGGGACTAACTTTGAATGTAAAAATGGATTCATTAACCATTGGTAAGTACAGGAAAATTTTTGTACACCGGGAAAAATCATTTTATGGCCAAAATGAAGAGTTATTATCCCTTTAATAAAGTCATATTATACAATAATTGTGTAACAGACTTTTAGCGTAACCTGTGGTCAGAGATTTACTAACGCCTGGTTCCCACAAGGATTAAAATCCTTTTCACATTTAGCGGTACAGTTATCTGGACCGGTCCACTCTGAGAGATTGACAACTTAATGGCCACGCTGTTACATAAGAGTGTCCCTCCCTCCCCTCCCCTCCCCTCCCCCTCCCGTTTGAAGGGCCAATATTAATTTACAGCAGGAAGTGCACTTGTGAAACAGTGTAGCGAGTGTTTTTTAGTTTTAACTAAGGTTAAAAGAGTACCGTTTGGTGTGGAAAAGGCCTAAATTTTATATCAGAAGGTTTTTTAAAGGCATTGAGGACAGACAAGAACGTAACCATAGTCAAACGTAAATAGCCAAAGAATTTTTTGAAGTACTGTGCCAATAATCGATAGTGACGAAAGCCGTGGTAAATAAATGCAATACCGCGTATATATCTTCCACACCTTTAGATATTTATTAAATTAATTAGATATTTATTAAAACTTTATTGTAGAGTATAATTTCTTCATAATAAATATATATTACAAATATAAATTTTAAAAATGAATGCTGCATGTTACGAACCGTCCATATTATACATTGTACGTGTTGAAGTCATTTATGAATACACATTAGTTTTGTTATACTGTTACAGTTGTTTGTTATTCAGTACGTGAATATTGGTTTTAACTGGTTTTATTAAAACTATTATAAAATTATGGAGATTTTATTCTAGTTTCCATCGTGTTTGTGCCTTTATAAAATAATGACATAACAGATTAAATGTCTTTTTCATAATTTATTTTCTTAATTTTTCATGTTAACCAAAGTGTTCGGAAAACGATTACAGATATCACATAATAATTAACATTTTAACCAATTATGAAGAATCTCGCTCTCTCTCGCTCTCTCTCGCTCTCTCAGGGGAATCCTAAATTCTGGCAATTTTTTTTTTTTTTGGAATGGTCATCCCCCACCCACCTACGGCAAACACACACACGCACACGCACACACACACACACACACACACTTATAATGAACTTCTTACACGTCTGCATCTGAGACCGATACGCAGGCAGGTACAGGTCCAAATTTCAGATATTTCAAGGTCAGTTTATGTGGCCGTTCAGAACTGCGCATTAACTCCTCGGGGACTCTAGCTGAATGCAAGCAACATGGCAGACTAACCTAACTCGTCTCCTGCTGTTGTTGAGTAGAATAAATAGAAGCTGTGATTATGTAAGTACGTTTGAGATGAGGAGGCGTACGCCTGTTAATCATTTAATCTGACTGCATTCAGCGAGAATCCCCGTGGAGTCAGTGCAAATTGGCTTTTGCAACCTGATTATGACACATTCTGACTGGCCCTTATGATGTGCTGTGCCATAACACACATTTTCCCTCATTCTGGACTTCTTCTTATAGTTGTACAAAAGCGCATCGGGTCTCTATAAACCTTTATAAACCTTTCCTTTTATCGCCAGGTATGCAATTTCCAAAACCGTTCAAAAATGATTCGATCCATTACCACGTTTTTGAGTTCTTAATTTGTCATTTTTTCCAGTCCCCTTCTTCACTATCTCTATTACCAGAGTAACAAAAAGGTAGACATTTAGAACTCGGTAATGGGTTTATATATGGATTTGGCATACGTTGGCGTAAAATGTGAATTTTTGAGAATGTATTTTTGCCAATATATATATATATATATATATATATATATATATATATATATATATATATATATATATATATAACCGCACGCTGTGATTTTAATCACATCGCTGTATAGAATTCTTAAGCGTGACAAGAAGCAATTATCCTAGAGTTCCTGCACTACATCTCCATCACTGGCGCAGGTGCAAGGAATCTTATGTCGTCGCGTGCATGACAACGACACGCATGTTTTTCTTTAACGGAATAAATGGACTGCTGTGACTGCATCTGTCACTGAAGTAGGGTTTGAAGCTTCCTAGTGTATTGCCTTTCTACTTTATTGATGTTCATATTATAAATGGACCTGTTATTATTCCATACCGTGCAAAACCATGATGGTAGTTTGGTCATGTGCATTGTTTCGTGTTTGTTTGTGTGTGTGCGCGCGCTCTCTCTCGCACGCGCGTTTTTCGGGAGATTTAGTGTGTGGGCAGGGGGGGATGCCTCGGTACTTATTGTCTATACGCTCTGTGTGTGTGTGTATGCGTGTGCATGTATTCATGTACACACGTGTGTGTGAGTGTGAGTTTGGGTCTTTCGGTTATGGGTTCTATGTGCATATGTGCGTCTCCCTATTATTCTCGCGAGCGCGCAAGTTTGGATTTGTAACTCTGCGCGCATGTGTACCTAGGTGTGAATTTTTAACAAAACATAAATCGACCTTGTATACTCTTTCTTTTTCTTGGTGGTGTGATAGCAAATGCATATTTTCTTAAACACCTGCGGCGAAACCTGCTTTGAAGGCGTGCAGCGTTCACTACATACATATGCTATAGGCATAAACACGCTAATCCGTCAAACAGCGTCTGCCAATCCTATTTCTTAATCAGTACTGTTTTTGTCGTTTGACAGATTACTCTTCCATTTCTCTAGCGCTGAGACATTTTTATTCATTCTACAGGTCGGTACGTCGTCGTCAGTTTTAACGTACAGGATCGAAGCAGAATGAATTTTTTGCGGCATGGTAAGCCTTCATCCATGTGAGAGCATCCAGTCGGCATAAAAAATTGCCTTCATATTCCTTGTTGGCGGAGGCAGCAAAAAGAATTAATCACAGTTAATTGACTCACGCGGACGCCGCAATCCTGCAATTTTCAGGTAAATGATTTAGCAATACGGCGTTTTTTATTTAATGAGTTTTGGTTCGTTAGTAGAAAGTGTTTCCAGACGACATAAGTAATTGTCTGGTATTAATTACTGTGGTAGTTACTGATTTGTGTAATCATAACAGTTATCTGCATCAAGGCGGCCGGGAGCTACTGAAACCATTAAAAAGTGTCCATTGTGGCGCTGGCATAGATATTCATAACTCTGCTTATATTAGACTTAGACACAGTTTCACGCGAGACTGATGACGTAATCTCAGAACACACAGGTGCAGTACCTACCTCAAACTTGATTTTAGAGGTCGTTTAAATATTTTTTTAAACGTGACAGGTTGACGTCACCTCGTGGTTTAAAATACTTTTCCCTAACACCGTGAATTTCATAGTTCTGATGATGACTTCCTGCTACCCTGCATACCCTCCAAGTCGCCGTTAATTCAGTATCAGAATCGGAACAGGGAGGGCACCCTCTATCGGAGTGGGGGGGGGGGGGAGAGGGCACAGAAAGCATTCACAACCAGTTGATCCTCGGACTAACTAGTGCGTAGATCAAATATGGCGCGACCCACTTGAAAGCATGTGCCGAAATTTAATTGCTCAGCCCCTGCTGGGACGGCGTGCTTGGGAGGCGGGGAATCCGGTTTGCTTTCATATTTAATCCGCGGACAAGTTGGTCCGTGGATCAACTGGTTGCGAATGCTCCCACAGGCGATATTCCTTCTCTCTGACCACAGGGTGCGCTAGTAGTCTGTAACAAAAATGTGTGCGCACACGGTGATTTTGTACACTGCTGTAGGAGCACCTGATAGCAGAGGATACGGCTTTCCCACTTTATTCTCATATATGTTTCAGGCTTATCCTGTGTCCAACGAGAACATTTGCACAGGAATGAAGCCATGCACCACCTAGCTAGTCTCAGGCATAGAACATAGAGATGGGGGTTAGGTATTAGTTTCCAATAAAATCTGAACGCCAGGGTACAGATAATGTACCATATTATGCGTTCTATGAGATTTTGATAATGCAATAGGCCTAAATGTAAACGTCAAGTTTCAATGGCGGATCAGATGGGGGGGGGGGGGGGGGGGGGGGGGGGGTACGGCCCCCTCCCCTG